GTTTTACAAATTTTATTTTAGGTGAAAAAAACGAAACAATTTAGTGGAAAGTACGCATTGGAACGGATATATCTAGTTCATTCATATAAAGTCGGCGACAGCTCGGGTTAATAATTACATCATTATTTGAACGGCACTTCCTCAGACTTTTGTCGCTCATATTGGATCTCTCTTTTGTCAAAGCGATTCAATCTCGCAATCGATGTAGACGGTGCACTTGGATCTTCCCCGAATTTCTATGTGTGATATATACCCTATATAGCACATTGCACACCTATACATGCATTCATACTTTGTTTTATCCAAACAAAAAGAAAAATTCTTAACTTTTGCACTTGTTCGTTCCTATAGATCAAGTACAATTTCATAGCTCATATAATATTTCTTCTTTCTCCTATTTTTCATAATAATGAGGACAGCATAGAAAATCATTCCGACATATGCTATATGCTATACATATACTAGTGCATCCTCAAACTATATTCGGTTAAGTTTCAATTAATTGAACGAATATTGCTGTAATAATTTGCTTGATGCAACGATTTAGAATATTTGCAGATTTAAACCAAACGAACGCATTTACAAACACTAATATTGCAACAGATTATGATAACAACGTTTCAACGCTCACACAAACATGCATATATATAGACCGACAAAATCTGGAATATATCGATAGCAACCAAAGCGTTTTATAATCGGAAACCGTCGTGTATATGCTAAAAAACTTTGATTCATTAGGAATTCATGGAGAAAACCACACTTCAATGAAAATCATTTGTTTCAATTTTTCAACAAATAATCTGTTGACGCCATTATTTTTTATATTATTCATATATGTATATATGTATATTATAAATAATGCATATTTAATATGGACGTTCAAAGAAAAATAAGGAAAATGGCGAATATCCTATTCTCTATCAGTATTTATAAGATCAGACCGAGTCTCCATAGGAAGTATGGCTGATGTTGTTTTGGTTGTTATCACGGGGAACTCCAAAAATAATCAGAATGAAAAAATAAAAAAATTTAATATATATATTGCTTTTTAATTTTTCTCTCACTTTCTTCTTCTTCTTTCCTCTCACTTTCTTCCGTTAAATTTTTTTAAAAAAATTTGGTTACTTTCTTAAACCTCTTTTTCTTGTTTTTTCCCCCTCCCTCCTTCCTTTTTTTAAACTCTTTTTAAACTTAAAATTCTTGTACATTTTTTTTTTTTAATAACAGCAGTAAAACGCATAAATTATGAGCTGCCGTTTGCCGAGATCACGATCACCTTGGTTAATAGCACCATGTTTATTGCTGGAACCGATGGTCAGAAATAATAAGTTTTTTCTCTACAACTGAAAGTAGTCTTCGTAGATATATTTTCTGAAATGTCTTAGAGAAAGTAATTATAAAAGTATTTGGTCTGTACGAGCTTACCACATTTTCTAAACTCGGTGTTATATTTATTAATGCGGGTGTCGCTTCTTACATCAAGAAATGGCCACTTACTTCTTAGCAAAGTTGCGCATCTTTAGCTAAAAGCGAGTCACTACTTCATCTGTAAATGTCAGAAATATTTCTTGTAGATAATAAGCAAAGTTTTCTACTTTCCTCGTACTATTTCTGCGCCAACTTCTGGGCCTGTCTCTTTAAGGAGTAATACGGTTGCTTAAGATATTTGAGAGTTGTCCATAAGTAATGTTCATCAGACATGCGTAAAGTGATGCTCATTAAAAATTATTAATTGTTCATTTCTTATCGCAGCTAGTCGTAAGCTCATATTCTTTGTACCTCTCTTAAAATTTCTTAATCTTTTCTTGTTTCTTACAATTTCCCTCATTTCAAAGCTATCGTATTTATTGCAATGTCTAGGCTTTTCAAAATTTCTGCCAGCGGATATAAAACTAGCTTAGTGACTAAGATTTGTAAAATCTTTTACCGCATCATCAATTTCAGTAGAGCTTTGCAAACTCTGATTAAACTGTAAATTGTTGTCGATCAATCTCTCAGGAATTAAACGTTACGAAGCGTCCAATTAATCGACCAACTTTATAAAGTTTGTTTAATTGTTAACTGGCAAATCTTCGGATCACTTATTAGTAATTTTAACAATATTGAATTCCAGAACAGAACTGAATGAGTTTAGGTGCATGTCCCTTTTGAGTGGCAGCCACTTTTATGACCGTTTTTATACCGATTGCTTTAAATTAGCAGTGATTATTTTCATACTAACTTTTTATACTATAACGAGTTTAGTTTTTCGTTATATAATTTTAAATTTAATTCGACTCAATTCGACAATTAATTGAAGAGAACTGAAAACATTTAAAGTGAAATGAACATAATTCCAATGAGGATTTGTTTTCTAAAACGATATAAATAAAAAAATCGATTGCGGATGGTAAGGCATATAGGCTAGAAAGTGCAATAAAGAGTTCTTGTTTTAAGATATTTCATAAGTCATTGAAAACGGTCGGATAGGAACTGTTTTCCACGATTCATATGTACTGTATCCGGACATTCAAGGTTTGCAATCCGTCATACAGAAATTTTTGGAAAACTGTGGTAGCTGCGATATCTTGAGATGAATGCATATTTTTGATACATTTGAGAGTAAAAGCTCTTTCGAATTCGTGAAACGATCAGTAATTGTAAGAAAATTTCGCTTATTTTCTGAAAGTACTGGCATTGCTGCATTTCTACACTATTTGTTGATGTCTTGATACACGGATGGCCAAACAAAAGGTGAAGATATTAGTTTTTTTGCAGCCCGGATCAAAGGAATTGAAAAACCATGCAGCAACCTGAAAGTGGATTTTCTAAAGTTTGGCCTGAGATAAGGTCCCCTAAATTTTGAAATATTTTGATCATAATTCATGCAAGTGTGCCGTTTGTAGAATATGTTGTATGTTGTATAAAGTGTGAATGTTAAGCGAATAGAAAGGTAAAATTAAAGGAAAGAAATTCTATGTCACAACAGCACAACAGCAGTAATGCTTTTACCTTCAATAAACGGAGCGTTTTTTTCTGCATTCTCCATCGAACAGCGAAGATCGAGAACTATAGGGTTGTCGATGCACACAAAAAACACGCACCGAAACGGAAAAGGGCGAAAAAGAGCAAAGATACGACAAATCGAATAAGAAACCAATTGCATCAAAACTCTAATAACGATAAAAATTGACAAGGTTGATACAATAACTGCATTATATATCTGAGCTTGAATCGAACATAAGCTGAATATGATTTATTAAATTTTATATATTATGATGTTATATAAATATATATATATACATATATTATATATTAAATATTATATATATTATAATTTAATTCTAATTAATTTACGTTTACGAGTGGAATGCTTTTGAAGGGAAACAATAAATTCTATGGGTTATTACTTCATCTTTCCTTCTGGTATGACTTTTTTTTTTGTTTAAATTGGCAAATAAGTGTATATTTTTGTTTTGTTTTCGTATTCATATGTGGAACGTAATTTTCATTGAACTTTTTCTTTTTTGATTTGTTTTTATGTTATGTTCTCTTTGCCTTAAATATTAAAAATTAAATTTCAAATTCATAAACGTATCGTCCAAATCATGTCATGGCGTATAACCATGGAACGTATAACCAACGACTCCGTTGCCTTGAATCCAATTTCTCCGAGCTTATTCTGTATACTTTTCTGGTCGTACAGTATACTTTTCTGGTCGTATACTTGCGAGCTTGTACAGAAATTGTAAAATCGTGCAACGAACTAAGTATGCCTTTAAACGAAACGCAAAATGAACAATTTCTTTATTTATTCCTCAATCAAGAAAATAAAGGGGGAATTTCGCAGAGTACGGGTACTACACATCGAAAATCACTTAAAAAATTCCAGTACAAATTTTAAATACCCGAACTTGTTTGTTGTAAATTGTGATAAACAAAAAGTTGCTCTATTACTGTAAAACGCTTTTACGAAATAAATGTGTGTCTGTTTATTAGAGTAAAACGCCCGTAGCTTCATAATTGTCAGTCTAACAAGATTCGATGATCAAAAGGTTATAAAGGATTTGGGACATGTTCTCTCCAATCTTCGTTAAGGTAAAATTAATTAAATGTTTAGTTGCGCCGCTCGCGTCGTATTTATGCATATTTATATATTTATATATTGTAAATTAGGTTGTTTTTCTAAAGAAAAGAAAGAAGAGAAAGCTAGTTGTCGTAAATAATAATAAGATACACCAAGTACGTCTTCAACAAGCGTTGATATGATAGGATATATTAGTTTTCGTTCACAGATATAGGGGTCCCGATTTTCCGATAAATCTTTTTTATACCCACCACTATAAGATGGGGTATACTCATTTTGTGTTATTTTCACAATGTCTGTCACAACCAAAAGGATGCTTCAGAGATCCTATGAAGTGTATATATTCTTGATCAGCGAAAAATTCTGAATTGATTTAGCCATGTCTGCCCGTCTATGTGTCACTGCAATAATGAAGACATCGACTTCAAATTTGGTAGAAACATTGGAAGTTTTTGCGCGCAGGTTAATATTGAAAATGGGGCATATTTGTCAGAGAAGAAGCCCGCAGTTTAGCATAAACTAAACGCAAATGTGTTTGTCTTAACAAAAATTTGTGGATTTATGCTCGTCGCTCGAAATTTATTAAAGTTAGAAGCCGGAAATTTACTTTAAGAAGCGCTCTACGCTTTGGTGAAAAAATGGAAGAAATCGGCCAGGCCCACTCAAAGTTATAAGTGATTAAATTCTCTTTTTCCACCTTTTTCATATTTAAAGCTTATTTATCGTAAGATTAACAAGACAGAATGCTTAAAACTATTTTGGACATTCCTCAAATGAAGATATATTATGTACTTAAGAAGGGGTATATTCTAAAATGGACATGGTAGACACCGCGACCTGATGTGGCTCGGGAGCGATTGCACTATTAACGGCTATCGAATAATTGCACAGTTGGACGAAAATGTATATTTTTGTCTTCGACGTGAATAATTTATTTGATACACACCTCTTTTATATTGCCATGAATGTGATGATCTATAATTGCTTGGGAAATTTGCCCGTCAGAAAAACCCAATTCTCGCATAACCATCTTCCATCCCTCTACTAAACGTGTTGCTATCGTATCAATTATTCGATGACTGGGTTCTTCTTGAGACTGCATCATCGCTACAATAGTGGTAGTTTTTCGATTCCAATCGTAAATATGATCTGCAGGTACATTCTTTCTTTTATTATTGGCGTTATTTTCATTATGTACATTGTAAACCGAACCAATATGTAATTTGTTAACATTTGAAAATTCCATTACAACATGCTGTTGAGAATTTTGTACGTTCATATTATTAATTCTGGATTCCAAATTATTTTGTATTTCTATAAAATTATTAACCACATAAATATGTGTGTACACGCATATGCATATATAAATGCTGTAACGAAAACTTTAAATTGATTTACCAAGTAATCGTGTGTCTGAGTGTGTTAGATCGGTGGTCGAATCTGTTGCATTATTATTATCAAGGCATTGTTCGTCATCTTTGCGATTAATCTCTTCAACCGGAGCGGCGTCTCTCAAATCGCCTGCTTCTATTTCGGAGACTTCATTAGCTAGCGAATCTAAGCCCTCGTTTTCGGAGCGTGCTTTGACAACCGCCGAACCAATCGCATCACCACCGCTTTTTGTGGGCCAAGCGTATCGTGAAAAATTATTTAAATTAGCGCTAGGATCACTAAGGCGACGTTGATAGCCGTATGAGCAATAATCACCATTATCCTCTTCCCAATCATCCCACATGTCAGTGGCACAAAACCTAAAATATAAATATTCTTATTATTTACGTTTTGATTTGATATATGAACATTTTCATTTACATACCCTGGTTCGCTGGTGGGAGTTTCTACGCCCGATCCCTTGGTCAAAATGTCTACAACAGAAACAAGACCTTAATTGATAAACAGTATTTTAAATGAGCTTACATTTCAAGACGTGAAACTCTGCACTTCAAGTGGTAAGACTTTCGCTGATTTTCTTTGAACACTTACCAATAACAAAAGCAATTTTTAATGTGATTTAAACTTGTTCGTCCTTGCCAGTTCAAGGCCGCAAATTTCGAAATACGTTGATAAACCTCCTGCGACAAAGACCATTTTTATAAAACACATTGTGTATAAAAAATTGAAGTTGTTCCCTATATCACATTTGAAATTATTTTTTTAATTGCTTGTAAGTACTTCATAGGAAATATATTTTTTCTTACTTAATATTATTTTGTTTTTTTAGCTAGCCAACATTCAAATATATATTATCAGAGCATTTCCGAGTTGCTGCGTAAATGTTATGAGCTCAATACGTCAGGTATATAACAAACATCCAAATGACGGCCTGGTTTTTCAAACTGAAAAAGTTATTATTTAAGTACAAATTTTTTGAAATGTTTTGATGAAATTAAATACAACATCGTATATATAAAACATTGTACCAATTGCAATGGAAAAACGAAAGCTTCTGCCACAAGTACAAGAATGTGCAGAGCCAGATTTTTACGGTTTTCCGCACCACCCTTGGGGTACCGTGATAGGCACGTTGCCAATTGTTTTAAATGGCTGGCTCCCCAGTAGGCCTACACCATTATATACATAAATGCAATTTTACAATTATAGTAATTTAATATATGCATCGTGCATTGCATTAACAAACATTAATATGATATAATAATAATAATAATAATAATGATACTTAGTAATATAAAATAATATATGATAATACGTAGTAAATAAAAAGCCCCGCTAATAAATACATATACATAAAGAAGTAAAAATTACTGTGCTGACATATGCAAAAGAAAAAGAAATATTGTGATTAATAAATTTTATATACAAAGATGATCACAAACTTACCATTGGCCTATGAAAGTATCGCATACTGCTGAAACGCGATGAGTGGAGGTGCAGAAGGAAGCATGCTCTTTGATCTAAAATAAAATAAAAAGAAATGAATAAATTATATATAATAATAAGTAACGATAAATGCAAACTTACCTTTAGCATGTAGCGAATCTTCATTTATATGAGGCGGCGACCGGATAGCTGGATTTGACTTTGCGAGCGGACGAGCATGACTTCAAAATGATGATACATTTTTAATTCTTTTTTGGATCCAGTTTTTGTCAATCAGCAGCAAATGTATGATGAATCCTAGGAGGTTAGTCCGGTGACTTCTTCCATTGGGGCAGAAGCCTTTTTTCTTGAAGAAGTCAAGCTGCTTTAGAATTGTCGCCTGGGTGCGCTTGCCGATGTTGCGTTCAACCATATGGAACTTCATAATTTCCAAATAGATGCCCCAAGAAAACATTGAGCACATCAAGCCTCGGAAATTCGGCTTCCAGATCCTCATTAGCCAGGATTTCGTCGTGTTCCTGTATATTGGCGACTAGCATGCCATCAACTTCGGAGCATGTTTCTTCCTTCCTCAGCGTTAAGTCGCTTGGGCATGCTTGGCAGCTTAGCTGCTCACGGATGTATTGGGCTATTCCATAGCCTGTGAGCAGCCTGAAGTGTTCCGCCTCGTTTGCGGTTAGCCGTCTGGCAGCTACTTTGTACGGCACCCCATTCAAATCGCAAGACGGGAACTCATCTTCGGCCTGGGCTGGTGTCTTATAATCCAGCTTTTTAATGAGATCATAATCGCCAACAGTCCGTGATTCGCCTCTCCAAAATTCTAATTGCCGTTTCATTAGGCGGATGCCTAGCTTCATCACATCTTCTACCGGTCTTGTCCTCTTTCTCCTGCCTGGCGCCATCTTACAGAAAAATTTCTCCCGCCAACTTTTCTGGCTGTAAATAATGTCTTGTGCGCATGCGAATACCCTTACCGGTTTGATTTTTTCTTAATAATAGCAGTGATATTGATATCAAATAAAACAACTCGGATAGTGGGTATGGGAAATTCGTCACCGCCGAATATAGGTTTCCTATTTGTCTTTTTTTAAGTTTAAATTTATTAAATTAATAATGTACAATTATCAACAAAACTAGAGATAGAGATGTAAATCATCACTAACTCATCAATTTTTTTATTTTCTTCATTTTGGTTTAAAGCAAAACCCTCCAAACTATTGAGAAACGACATTATTGCTATTGAAATTCACATTGGAAACGCCGGTTTCAGATGTTTGGAGGTGGGGATCAAGTTGTCTTTGAGATTCTTGGCTACAACTCGACTGCTTATCTTTTAGCAGGCATCTTCTTTTGTTTGGATGAGATCCTTCCTACACGCTAGAAAATGCAGCTGCTCACGGATGTATCGCACGATCACGTACCCTGTGAGCAGCCGCAGGTAGTTTTCTTGATGCTTGTGGACTTGGTTTAGAATCCGATCACCGAATATCTTCCCATCGAGGCCGAACGGCGTAAAATCTGTAGTCCATGTTATTGATGAGGAAGTAATCGTCGTCGGTCCTGAAGCCACTTCTCCATTTTGACACCTTCAATCTTTCCGTCAGCTTCGTTATTTCCACTGACAACCTAGTCCTCCTTTTGATGACGCATTGGGCTAGGTTTTGGAAAAATCTTTTTACCAAGTGCTGGCTTACCCTTGCTTTATGACGCTATGATTATGCAAGGGCAAGCCTCTGCCAGCTTACCCATAAGTTCAGTAAAATTGGTAATTGTTAGACGGGCGTCCATAGATAGCTGGTCCGCGATTAAATTTGCGTCCAAATAATTTCTGGTATCTTACAGATCATCTTTTGAAGAATTTCGTCAACTTGGTAATGTTGACGATCAAGTCGCACGTCCTCTGCGCTCCGTCGCCATCGTGTAAATCCGTGGTCTCCCTGAGGAAATAGTTCAATAAAACAAATTTGATGTTATTGTAATAATAATAATAATAATAGGTAAAATTAAAGCAATTTTTACATCAATAATTAAAAAAATAATTGTAATTAAAAAAAAAAGTAAGGAGAAAGAAATTCGAGAAGCAGATTTAGGATCAAAACCACACTCAAAAGGTGATATATTTTCTCGATCAATTTAGATTTTTTTAATAAAATTGAGTAGATAAATATTACATTAGTTGAAATTAATAAAACAATATATCTTATTAAAGTAATAGAAAAGATTATCTTATGATTAGCAGTCATTTAATATAAAGAAATAATCATACCTGCAATTTTTTGCAGCACGGGTGTTGCACCCTGTATGTCATTGTCGCTTGTAATAAATAAGAAAAAATAGTCAAAAAATGGCAGCTCTGTTAAATGGTTAAATGGTAATGCCATTCAACTGTGTTATCTAACGGACCAAATGAGAGACTTGAGACTTTGAGAGAGTGTTGAGACTTTTTTTTCATTTGTTATCGTTTTTTTCATTTATCCCGTGTGTACTCAAGTGATTGTTCGAATCAAAAACTCTTTTGTATGGAATTTGTATTTTCTCAATTATATAGAATTTGTATACGGAAATTATTGAGTACGAATATACACATTAATCTCGCATCGATGAGGCTTTTTTATAAAGACCTGTTGAATGATTGAGAACGAATATACGTTTATTCTCAAAGCGGCACAATACATGCAAAACAAATGAGAATGAATGTGCGTTTATTCTCAAAGCGGCACAATACATGCAAAATTCTTGATAATTGTATACGCTTATTCTCAAAAATACATGAACAGCGCAATAGATAAAATTCGCGATTATAAAATTTCTTAATTTCTTTTATTTTACAAGTTAGCTTAGAATTAAACCGTCATAATTTTTAAACAACGCCCTCGCTAAATTTGAAAGGCAAGGCACAGAGTCGCTTATAATATATGTAAATGGTTGAGTGCCCAACTAACAACTTAAATGTTAACGCCAATCAGCTATGTGGTGTATAGAATTGGGAGCTTTCATTAATATCAAAGATTTAACAAAGCAATTGCGCATAGTAGGACCTAGTGTAGTGGCATGATTTTTCAACAAATCTAGCAAGTGCTGAGGAAATTCCAAGTATTCAGCAGAATAACATTGGATATCATAAATTAGGTTTTTCTTTACAAGTTTATGTGGACGCTAACACCATTTACATGAGATAATTCACCTTGCGAGATATGAACGGAGGATGAATCTAATTCGATCATTACACAAGGCTATTCTTTGCTCGCGTTGTAGAGTTATGGACCCCATATTCGAGTAGATTTAAAATAGCCACAACGTCTTTTTATAATCTATAATTATCTTTGGATCTTGCCTTCATTTCTTATATTGTATGACATTGTTATGTTTCCTGTATATCTACCTTTACTGCAGTGCTGAAAGAAAGTCCGTAGTCTGACTAACATATTTATATTAATTGTAGTATTGTGTAGATGATATGTGTAATTGAATTGTCAGAGCGTTTTTTCTTTTCATCGAAATACATTCTATTCCAATATATTCAGAATAAATAAAAAAATTCTAAATATCAAAATAAAATTAACTGTAAAAGTTGGTTCTTCCGTTTCAAATGTCCGAAACGAAACATGATCTATGTATATATATATATAATATCAAAGACAGAAGCTCCCGCAAAAGAATTTTAGAAGATCATAGTACTACCTTCAGCTTTATACCAACTATTGATTTGGAAATTTCCTCAAAGATCAAAGGCGTATAAATTCGTTTTTGATATTTACGTAATTTTATTTTGAATTCCTGGTACGTCTGATTTCAAATTCACACCTGAACATTTGTCACAACGTGAAATTAAGTGACGCATACAGTAGGGTATCAGACATTGCTGGCAGCGCGTTCTTATTTTTGTACCATTTCTTGAACGGCATCCTCTACAGCGACGACGACTCTCGTTTTCTCGCGCTTGCAGAACGACACCTTCCGGAATTAAAGCCTTATCAGCTGGGATAGCAGGCAAATGCAAAGTTCTCTTTTTGGTAATGCCACTTAAAACGGCTTCCACATCTTCTCCCAAAACTTCTGTTATCTGCAACTTTAATGATACCGATAATTTTTGGTTTGAATGCAAACGTTGTTTTAATTGTTGCTGCGTCAAAAACAGACCTAATTGGCGTTGAAAATCGCGTTGTTCCATACGAGAATCGCCCTTTTCCGATAACCGCATCAATATCCAAGCATTAAAAGCAGCCATATTCAGTAAGAAATATAAAAATTTTCTTGGCCACCCTAGTTGGGCTATTGCCGGATTCCCGTACGCTGTATTATAAATGTTCATTTGATTATGTGCACGTCTATTGCTTGATCTTGCAATTTTATACAATTTTATTGCGCTAACACGCGTTGAAAGGCCGCTGGCTAATAGCAAACCTGCTTGGCTGATTTCTGTTTCGCATCCAGATATTAACATCAAATCATTTTTCGAATACCACACCTGAGGAGTCGCCATCGATTTAACGAGATGCGTTGGCACCCCTTCAGTTCTCGATAAAGATCCAACCACTTGAAGTTGTGTTTGTTGTAACTTGCCCATATTGATCATCATATTGCTGTTAGTGTAACGATCGTTAAGACATAGACAGCGTCTGGTGTTTTTAATATCACTCGATATTTGATAGACTTCTTCGTCCAAATATTTATTTCCTCTGGTTATTAAAGCATTACTTATGTACAATGTCTTCGCATCGCATAAGGTAACAAATCGAACGCAATTTTTTTCATCTTCTGAAGGCGAAGCATGTTCAAATGAATTGAAAAAATCAGCAGATGAATCCATTACAAAATCGTCCAGCATACAAATGTTGCTTGCAGTATAGTACGAGCGACAATTAATAATAAATTTTTCCCACACAGTTCCTATCTCGTCGATAACAGACGTAAGTTTGCTACCATCCGGGTATGTATCCGAAATGCGTATAGATTCAGCAAGAAAGACAAAACGTTTATAATGCATGGACGCTCGAAATATAGCATTTCCTAGTTCTAGTGTCCATAATTCCTCCATGGGTCGGGCGTTTTCATTGTTATGTAAAACACCGCATAAATAATTAAGGCCTAACCATGATCGAAGTTCGATCACATCTGTCGTTTTGTGGTGAAGTTCTTTGCTTCTGAGCGATTTTATAAACTCGTTTGTTGCTTTAACAATTTGTGTCAATATAGGTAAATCCATAAGCAGATGCCAAGCTTCTACAGGGCTGAAAACATTCTTAGCTGGGCCTTTTCCAGAAGGTTGATAATCTGGCAAATCGTTTAAAACGGTATTCCCAGGCTCCTTACTCCATAGAATTTTATTAGGTTTTCTCGGTTTTCCCTTAGAAAATTCCTTCTTCACCTCATAGTTTTCTACGTCTTCTCCATTTAATATATGGGATCTTAAAAAATCACTCTCTTCATATTGCCAAGGAAAATCGATTACGTCGATTTTCCCCTCATGTTGAAGCGGATCTTCGCAATAGTTTTCGCATTTCCTCTGCAATTCAATTGGATCAAGAAAGTCGTCTTTTAATTTCTCTTCCTCTGCGAACACTGCTCCAAAAACTTCATTATCGGAATCTTCTTGAATTTTAATATTAGCGAGAACTTCGTCATCGACGGCAAAACTCATTCTAAAAATTGTTTTTTACTTTCAATATACCAATAAATCCAATTTAGAAAAACATTACGAACACTTTCGTTTTCGTTTAAGTATTCATATTTACTTATTATATCTTGTACTGATAAACGGTTAGTTAGTGAATTCGTTGGACTTGCCAACTCTACATTTTGACATCGTAATATTCGGAGTCATTCTGACTTTTGGTTACTCTACGTACTGTAAAAGTTCTATTTCGATTTTAAAACTGGTGCCGAGACATAAGAATTACAAAGGTTAAAAGCATTTTTCAATTTTCTTAAACAACACCACACAACCTGTAGCGCTAACAACCTGTGACCCATAATTTCTCTTTAGGCTACAAATTTGATTCACTAATTGTGACAATATGATGAAATAGTGAAAAGGATAATTAAAAGCAACCTCTTTCGTATGATAAGGACAAACAATACATTGCATTATGATACGTACTTCCTAACTACTCTTCATCCCATCGTCGTATACGTCAAAGACAATAATGCCTGTTGAAAATAATTTCATATCAGAAATCTGTAAAATCTTGTTAACGAAATATTTATTTATATTCGTCTGTAAAAATAAAGAAGGAGCTTCCGTATTCAGTTGAGCCTAACCGATATAACATTTCTTTTTATAAAACTCGCGTTTATTTGAAAGTTAGGTTTTCTTACATTATATCTGCGATCGCATTGCCGAAATTCCAAGAAGTAAAATCTCATCAAAATTTATGAATATGAAAATATATATCAGTCTAATACATGCACTCGAGTCGTATTAAAATTTTTAATCAAGTCTGTAAATCAATTATCTGAGCCGATCACCCATTTCAATTAATATACCCGCTTTATGAAGAGAAAGTAAAGGTAAATAGATTCACTTTGTTAATTATTTGCCCTAATTTTTCGAAATCGAAAGATAGTTTACGGTAATCTTGAATCTTCATATTTGAAACCAGAGAGTAAAAGGTAATTAAATAGATCTTATGTAATATTAATAAGGTGTCATTATGATAGTGATTCTCTGAGATGGAGAATGTTAAAAATATCGAGAGCTAGACGTCAGCGCAAAGCGAATTGTAAATTTTGATCATGGCGGACAGACGCAGAGACTGCAAAGGTCGACTAAGAACCCGTTTCTGGAATGGAAAGGACAAAAGCTCGACATACAAGAGATGAACACATGCTTCCCACATTTTTTCTTTTCTAATGTCAGCTAAACTAAGAAAAAATTTGAACGCATATTTGAGAAGCACCAAATATCATCCGAAAAATCTAATACAATTTCTTTTTATTGTTTGTACACATTCACTTACTTATTTCCTTTGGTAAGCTGCCCTCATAAAATTTCAGTTTATAACTAGAAAGACATTTAAAACTTTCTCCACTTTATCACTACTATTACATCCTTTTAATGTTTATTTTGTTCACGATTGTTGCCTTTATTGAAAACAACTCTGTCCTCTCTCTATTCTCAACATATGGTTCTTCTTTTACTGTGCAAACCGTTTTCGAGCATGACACGATATTCTTGATAATCGAGTTTAGCATATCTCACTGGTAGAGTCCTAAAACCAACCAAAAAAATGCTCAAAAATCACAGGAATTTCGAGTATTTAGAATATCACCTATGTAATTTGCTCAGACTTAACATAAACACATACTTAAAGAGGGTAATGAAAATGGAATTTGATTTGTAAGAGTATATTTCTCATTTAATGTACAAGTAGATTACAACTTTTTCTTTAAAATTGAGATTAACTTGCTTTTAAGACATAAATTCTGATTAAAGTATTTAAGCCTTAATTTATAGTTTTTTTTTAAAGCTGCCATTGTCTATAATAGATGAGAAAAAAAGTATTAAAAATAAAAGTTTAATATGGCAGACGAAAATTCAAAATAATAAGATAAATGATGTTGAGGTTCACATTTTTTGTTTTTCATTTTATATTTATTAAAGTATAAAATTTTATTGGCAAAAATTTTGTTTTTGTTACTTGACATCTTTTTTTCGTAACTCTTCTCTCTTGTGTGGTTGTTCAAATTTCTGCTTTTATTCAGTTTTTTTTCGAAGTATATTTTCCGGTAAAATTAAGTGAACAAGGACCTTATTATATTATTAGTGGAAAGTAAAACTCTAAGACATTAAAGTTATAAAATAGACTATTGTAAAAATATACTTCAACGCCTAAATGCAAAGAAAATTTGCAGCAATTAGACAAAGTCCTTATTGATGTTATTTAGTTATATATGATGGTTTCCGAATTACGTGAAGCTCTACTTGTCAAGAGCGGTATTAGTCTTAGTAGCAATAACGCATTCCTCACCACAAGACTTGAGTACTGTACACTAAAAGATTTAAAGAAAACAATACAAAATGTTCTGTTCTTTCAATCTCATACAACAACGAAGAAAAGAACAAATTCTCACCAAAAGGTCTTTGCCATTATCGAAATCGGCTCTTAAAGAATTGCCCAATTCACCCTCAGGTAATTTAAGATCCTCCCTAATTTCACCATTGTCTGACATTAAAGTCAAAAAACCGTCATCACTGATGTCGGTCAACTGATAGTCTTCCCTCTTAACATGTGGAACATCCATGTTGTGAGTAGATGGGCAAATATCTTCATATCTAGGATTTGTAATTAATTTTGCTTTTAAAAATTTCTAACGTAAAGCACTCTTCCTGAACGATGTGCACTTACTTCTTATTTGTAAAAATATCGATGCCTACCAAATGGACCTTAGCGTGGCCGTGCTTTCCAGTTTTGGAAGTAGACATTTCAACAATCTTACAGGGTCTACCTTTGAGCATAACAAAACCATTTTTACGCAATGCGGAACATTGCATTGGATAAGTTTGAGAAGCACCAGAATCTCCAGTTTCGAAGTGATGGTCGTCCATTTCAGCCATTTTGATTAAAATTCAAGTCTAGACCCTGGTGAAGAATATCTAAAACAAACAAGAAAAAAACATGTCCATATTAAGATTTAACTTTAGAAAATAATTTTCTTTAAAATCAAAACTGTTCAGAATGTCTTTAAAAATGCCGCGCCCCTTTGTTAAATACCAATTTTTTTTTTTAATGACGGCATTTACACAAACGTACACCTCTCGCAAGCAAATGGTGCAATGCAAAATCTATACACATATACAAAAATGTATATGCACATACATATGCATATATGTACAACACATATGCATAGACTGAAATCAACATATAACCTTTTCTTGTCTTCTTCGGCACAAAAATATTTATATTAATTTGTGTATACAATTATTTCAAAAAATTTCTTTTATCTGTTAAGTTTTAAAACAATGTTTTTTAATGCATTGTTATTAAAAAGATCTCCGTAGTATGCGTTTTTGTAATAAAAGATGCGTCGTGCGCTAAATACTCCTTCTGGAAGCGGCACAATCATCTACACATTCAACTGAATCATATTTCTAAAAAAAATATTTGTCGGACTGTGTAGGAACTGTTGTTATATTACTAATTTTATTTTTTGTGTATTGATTTGTTACACTTTTTCATTCCGATTTTTTGATGAATTTTAACAAAACTTTTCTAATAAAAGTTTCACAAACGTTCACAATTTTTTTACAGAAAAAAAATCTTAGATATACTCACATGTGATTTTAAGGTTTTGTCGTAACCAAAAAGAGGCGAAACAAATTTATATCCGCTTAAACATGAAAGAACAAGCACTTTACTCAAGCACATGTTTGCCCAGGCTTGTCACGTTTTTGCAGAACACATGCCATTTTCTCCTTAAATCCCTAAAAATTAGACAAATTGAAGCAAAAAATTGTCTTATCAAGCAGCATACACATAATATTCCGAACAAAGACAAAATCAATTTTTTTTTTCTTTTTTGTTGACATTTCGCTTATGGGAATTCGAAATACCAATTTTTATAATCATTACAGGGGCTATATTATATCGTTTCCGATACCTTTTAAAATCTGCATTTTTTTAATAAACGTGGTTAGCGAATTCTATTTGTCCACGCGCTTTTATTTTTAAAGTAACAGTTGCTACTTGAATGAAAGGATGGCTGGCTTTTAAATGTCTCTCTCCCATCAAAAGAAACTTTTTATTATTTTTACTAATAATTTTAATTATTCAATAAATTCATTCTTATTAGTTTATAATATTTAGTTATTTCTAGTAACACGGAAACAATAACCAAAACAAATATTTTATTAAAAACTATAAAACTCCTAAGATATTTAGTATTTTAGAAGCAACTAGTTTTCGCAATATGCATCAATTTTGTGACCAAGAATGTTGCGAACTAATTCATACCTATTTATCGACGAATATAGAGGTATTTCATAATAATAAAAATTTATGAATACAACTGAAAGGTGTGAAAAGTATGTTTCATATATGTATAAAAAAAAAGAAAAGCACAAGAAAGAATAATATTTATATTCTAGATCTCTTTAAGGGTTTAAGTCCGTTAATGAGATTGAATTTTGAGTTTGTTGATGGATGAAATCCTCAAAACTTCGTGTTGACACTTATCAATATATACAAAAAACGAAACCTTATTTTATGTTCACAAAACCAAGATGTTAGATTATTTTCACTGATTTCTTTATTGTGGTTTTGTTTCATTTCTTATATTTTTATATCATGTTACGCTAACAAAACATTCCATTTTTTTTAGGAAACGCAAAGCATTTATTTTACTTTAGTGAAGCTCGACAGTGAAAATATTTGAAAAGCTGTTTCATTTCGGTTCATTTCTTTAATCTTATATCGTTATGAATTGTTATTGTCTCAAATGAGAATTGAATTGAAAAGTCTCATCTCGTTTATATATCTTTAAGAATTTTTTCTCTTTTTTTGTATGTCGTTCTTAAAGAACAGACAAACTTTTGAACATATACACACATAAAGACGTATTTCTCCACTGTGAATTACTGATGTGCAGTCATTACCAAAATTAATATATTTTCATTCCTTACCGATATAAAATTCATAAAAGTTTTTTTTCGCCTATGATTAAGCTTATATTAAATTTTTCTTTTGCTAGCATTTAAAACCTTGCGCACTCAATGTAAAGTTAACCAAGGCAAAAGAACAGAATTTCTTTATACTACTAGTTTTAGGTAATCATATATCTAAAGTAAAGATATTTCATTTTCATGGCAATATTGTTTTCCTCAAATGTTCGTGGCGTATTCCAAGAAGGAATATGTATATTTGGAGCTAACGACGTTTGGTGATGTAGTGTTTGCACTCATTCAAAATATTTCCATTTGATTTGCAAAGTGAAAGACGCTAAATTATATAAAGATATTTATATATATGCACATATATATATATATATATATTACATTTTGATTTCGAAAATAATCTATCGGTAAAAATGTTTTTTTTATCGATTATTGACACCGTAACCGTAACATTCAGTTTATTTATCGTGTTTTTAATCACTTTATCAGCCATCAATAAGTCTATAAAAGCGCGGCGAGCATATGTCAATTTGTTACTTAGAGTGTTTGAGGTTTGTACCAGAGTGCAATGTTTCAATTAAAGGTGTTTATTACATTCTTTTAAATATTTACAGTATGGACGTGTAAGTGAAGGTAAACTGAATTTAAATATAAATTCGCGGAGCCGTAGTAAGTCTCATCAACTTACGGAAGATGCAAACAAATCAGAAAAATTAGTAGCTGTAAATGGGAATACTTTGATTAATAGAGATAACGTACTTTTACCAACGTTAACTGAAAATACCTTGGATAAGGAGAAATTTACAGCTACCATTAAAGATGTAAGTTAAATTGCAACACAGGTTAAAAAAGAATTAAGAGCAAGACTTTTCTCTCCATTCTCAACATCCAGTATTTTTTTTTTAAATAAGAATAAGCCAAAATATTTGTAACAGAGATTGTCCATGTGGCTGATTATTTTTAACAGGGCTTGTCCGTTTGTCTGATTAATTTTAACAGAGATTGTACGCATTATTGACAAAGAACCATGAAAAAGAGGCTTGTGGAGTCTGTTAAGAAACCAAATGGATTTTAGTAGTGGGTCATAGTTGATGAAGTAAGAAAATGACGACATAAGTATTATTGTATGAGGTTGTTTTAAGTTACTTTTTAAATATAAACATATTGCACATATAGTAGTGCTTGCAAAATTTCAATAGCATTGTTAATTAAATTCAACAAGTGTTATATATTCAATGGCCGCATGCTTATTTATGTGCGTGACTTTTGCCGTTTGTTTTTTGGAAAAGGAATTCGTCATTAAATCGAATATATTTAAACCTTCACGACACATTGGTTGATTGATTTCTTAATATTGAGATCACGAAGATTTTCTTCGATTTTTGAATACTAACCAAAATTAACTGAAGCATTAATTTCACTGCATACTAGCTGTCGAAAACGTGAAGTTTCTTGCATATGGAAACCTTTGCAGCAATATTGACATCTAACTCATCAATCTTTGCTACGGTATTCTCTTTTCTGCAAAGTTGCGAAGTGCTTTCATCTCTTCGAATACCAAAGTACATAAAAACATATTCACGTGATAAAAATATAATTACTTTTAACATAACTTTCGAGAAGAGCTTTCATAAAATGTACCAAAAAAATTAGCTCCGATCAGAGTCCGATTTGCTATTATTGAAAATTTCTGTATTCTTAATTGTTGCTTTCTTGAATCAAGTTTGAAGACACGTCTGATCTGCAGCAAGCTCGCTTTAAGAGGAAATTAAAAAATAAATAATGTTAAATAAAATGTTTTTATATATTCCATTAGATTTATCATGTTTCATTTTATTTTTTATTTTGTTTATCTTTTTTATCTCAGGAAAAAATTAGCTTTAATTTCGAAGAGTGCCTGGATTATATCAAAGCAGGTGTAGAGGCTATAATCGAAGATGAAGTCACATCCCGCTTCGAAGCTGAACAATTGAGAAGTTGGAATTTGCTTGCACGCACAAATCGTCGTTATGAATTTATTAATTGGAAGATAACGTTAATTTGGGTGATAGGATTTACTGTTCGTTATTCAATTTTAATGCCCTTACGAGTATTCGTTTGCTTCGTAGGCGTAAGTAGCTTAATGAATTTAACACTTAAACGATTGGCTTTTCATATGTTAACACATTTTATTAACCTTTTGTATTTGACTTCTATTAGGTAATATGGTTAACAATTTGCACAGCGATTGTAGGTTATATGCCTGAAGGGGAAAGTAAACGTCAGTTAGTGAACGATATTCTCAAACATTGTTTCTCAGTCTTATCGAGTGCCATTTCGGCGGTAATTAATTATCATAATGAGGAGAATCGCCCCAACACCGGCATTTGTGTCGCCAATCATACAAGCCCTATTGACGCATTGGTATTAATGTGCGATACAACATATTCTTTGGTAAGTAGGCAGGAGAAGAATTTTAATTGCAATACATTAAAAGGCATCAAGTAGTCCAAACTTACGATCATGGTTGAAGGCGAAGCCAAAAAATTGTTGTTGAGAATTTTAACCTGTAGTGAATTTATAATTTCAGTTTACCTAATATTCTTTCTGACTATGCCTGTATATATTCAGCCAATTTGAAGCTGATCTCATTAAGCAAATGTAGGGGGGTTTCCACAAATTTTTTTGCTGGTTTCAATTTATTTACATCTTTAAGATGCTATTGAATTAGATGTCCGCGAGAAGTATTTAAAGGTAATCGTCTGTATTTAACTTGTGTCAGATGCAGAGTATTTTCCTGTCATATTGAACTAATATTGTGCTTTGTGTTTTACGAACTGTCTATACTTCTCTCTCTATATGTGTATATTATAACTTCCTTTGCGTTAGCTCCTTGCAAACCAAGTTATTTCTTTTGTTTTGAAGCCGCAGTCGAATATTACAAATACAATGTCTATACTATTAATTACTGTTTAATGTGAATTGATATGAAACGAGTTGTGCTCTTCTTACTTAGATTGGTCAAAGGCATGGAGGGTTTTTGGGTATTTTACAAAGAGCATTGGCGAGAGCTTCTCCTCATATTTGGTTTGAACGAGCTGAAGCCAAAGATCGACATGCAGTTGCGGAGCGATTAAAACAGCACGTATCGAATCCCAACAATCCTCCTATTCTTATATTTCCGGAGGGTACATGTATAAATAACACATCCGTTATGCAATTTAAAAAAGGCAGTTTTGAAGTTGGTGGTGTTATCTATCCTGTAGCTATTAAGTAATATTTTAATCGATATAATAATTCAAGGCTTTATAATATAACAATTAGATATTTATTTTTAGATATGACCCACGTTTCGGTGATGCTTTCTGGAATAGTTCCAGATATTCTATGCTTCAGTATTTATATATGATGATGACATCTTGGGCAATTGTCTGTGATGTTTGGTATTTACCGCCGATGTATCGTCAAAAAGAAGAGTCTGCTATTGATTTCGCGAATCGAGTAAAAGGTGTCATTGCCAAGCAAGGCGGACTTGTGGATTTAGTCTGGGATGGGCAACTGAAACGAATGAAGCCTAAAAAGGAGTGGAAAGAAATGCAACAAGTAGAGTTCATAAAACGCCTTAAAGCAGACTAATTAAAGCATGCTGATAATTTCATTATGTAATTTATTTTATCACATTTTCAACTTAATTAATTAAGTAAAAACAATTTTTAAACAAAACGAGAATATTTGCTAACATTTTTTAGATCCATATAAACGTAGCCAATTAATGGGAGTAAGTTTTCGGTTTTATAATATAAAATTTAGACTTACAAATTATATAGAAATTAGTGAGAATTAATTAACTAATCTAATCAAATAATTACACATTTTTTTATTATAGCATTTTAAATGTTCTAAACAAAATTATTTTGAAAATTTTTTTTTTATACCTGAGAACTGAAGGTACAAATATTCATTTTGCAAATGGCGCAACTATACATAATATATATATATAAGCTTAAATGGCAAGAAATTCGAAATCCCTGATTTATTTTAGCTAATTACTGGAAAATATGATTAGTATTAACTTAGCCCAAGAAATAAACTCCAAAATTAAAAGTTTTAAAGAATTAGCATCCATTTATACGAATGAATCATAGGTTCGCTAAGATAACAACTAATTTTTTCACTGGGGAACATAATGGAAATAACAGTCTCGAAACGTTAACGAATGCAACACTACTCAAAATAGTGTAGTTATTACTTGAGAAGGACACCATTTAAAACCTGGGAATATAAAGAATTACGTTACTTTATTTTCTAACTAAATGAATACTTCTGTTACCAATTATTATAATTAGCTGTTATCTAGATTACAAGGCAAATATTTAATATTTAAAATATATATGTTCTTGGATGCAAAATGTTTTGCCTCCTTAGATAACAATTATTTTGTCACTTGAATATTGGGTTTTCTAAGAATGACAAATACTAGAAAGCGCACATAAATGATTTCAGCACGAATATAGACAATATAATAACCTTTGTTGCCACTGTTGCTTGTAGTTTTGTGTACAGCGTGTATACGCTTGTTGTTGTCATTTTGTCTTGCAAACATGGGCTGCCAAGTTTGAAAGAAATGATCAGTCATTATTCTGTCAATGTTTAGAAATGTCTCCACATCTTTGTTAATGACTTTCTATCCACATTTGGTAATTATAGGCAAAAATTAGGTACAGAATTTACTTATGGCAATATTAAAAGAGTTAAAGCGTCCAAATATCCACATAATATTATATAGTGTCGACAATATTTTTATTTTTTATTTGTTTCATGGTAGAGAATATGTCGTATCAAACTGATTCGGAGGCATTTAAAATAAGTGCGAGTGCAGTGAAAAGACAAGGGAACGATCTCCAATGTGATGATGAAGTTAAAAAATTTAAATTAGAGAAGAGTGCAAATGCTATGCTGATTCCAGTTACACAAGCCCAAACTATTATCTGCAATAATATCTTTAATACAAGCAATTTAGGTAATAAAAAGAACTTCAAGTCGAGAAAACAAGCAATTGAAACCAGCAATGTATCGAGTGGCTATCATCTACTTTTAGATGAAACAACGTTAAGTGAAGAAAGTACGGAGTCAATATGTACCAAAAATTTTTCCAGTGTAAATAGTGATGAATTGATGATGATTAGAAAGCAAGGAAATCTAAAGGATAATACTTGTGGAATAAATGTTGACTTTACTGGAGAAGAACGTATAATGCATGCTGAGGGAGAGAAAACGTTAACGAGTTCTTCTCTAATAAATAACCTAAATTCGAAAACCCCAGTTAAACGACTTCATTTAGGAGTATCCGAAACCAAGAAAGCTTTAGGAGAGGGTATTGATGTTAAAGTTATTAGTAATGAACAAAGTGGGAAAGTTTCTGTTGTTAATGATAAAAAAAATGATCAAGCACTTCTTTCAGCAACTAGTGGTGCTACAACTCCTCAAAATACCTTTACATATAGTCGCGTTTGCACTGTTAGCAATGTCACTACTGGAACCACAGTGGATCATTTAAGCATGAAAAGTTTGCAAGGAGCCGTCAAAAATCAATCTCTGATGGTTACCTCAAAAAAAATTCCACCCGAAGTAACACAAACACAAACAACGGCAAAAGTATCAATTGGAAATACCACAATATCTGTGCCTCTACTAAAGCCTATGAATCCAACGCAGATTATACAAGCAAATACATCCGCGTCAACTGAAGCTACGAAAAGCGTTTTGCATACTTTACAAGCAGGTTCGGGTCCATCAGCTCAATTCAGTAAAATACTCAATATCAAACGAGGTCAGAAAGTAACGCATCCAACTTATCTTTCCCTAGCTCAGGTTCAGATAAAGCCAATAACACAAGCAAAAATTGTTCAAGCCAAAGTGGTCAGTAAAAAGATTCCTTCCCATATGCAAGCAATACAGAATACAAAGACTTCATTAATTCAGCAAATTTCTGGAGTTGTAACTATTACATCGTCCAAACAAGATCAAACCAGTCAGTTGCAGCAACAACGTTCTATCAATCAGATCTTACCTTCCACTCTGAATAAACCGCAACTGAGTTTTGTTAAAGAAATATCTTCGGGAACAGTAATAAAAACAACAGAAGATATTAAAAGTTCAGTCAGCTCCGCAACTAATGGTACGGAACAAGTAACAGCAACATCAGGGACCTCGATACTCACAAATGATTCCTCTTTTAAAGTCATTGAAAAACAATTACCTAAAATTATTGCTGGAGGAAAAGAAGAAACATCATCTGTCGTGGCAACGGACTTTTTGCCTGCAAATGTTAAATTGATACACACGACTACAGCAGGTCACTTAAACACTTCGAATATTCGATCCTCTTTAACCGCTCAAATCGAACAAATTGATCAGAACATAAACCAGCAACAGCAAAATCAACAAAGAATTAACATTGGTCCCACGATAAGTATTGTGCGCCAAAATTCCCCTCAATTAGTTACTACATCTAGCAGCGCCCCTACAGTATCATTAGGTGTATCGGATACCATGTGCACTCAACAAAAAGTTATTTTGACAAAGTCTCAATTTGGAAGTAACACCAGTTCGCCAACTATTGCAACTTCCGTGTCGAATTTGAACTCTATGGCGATCCCTCGTAATATATCATTAATGTTGGCAAAGAGCTCTGCAAGTCAACCTGTTATTACCGGCGCGAAAAATTCTTTATGTGTCACTACCAGCGCGAACAAGACCAACTCAACACGTCTTAACCTTAATGTAAATTATAGTGTGCCCAATAGTAGTTCGACAATTTTTACGCAAACGGATACCGATGCGGGCAGCTCGACAGAACCAATTCCGCAAGCACAGGACAATACCGGATCTTCGCAAAGTAGGAAAATTATTCAGGTTATACCTGGAAGCCTTTTTAGTGGCAGTGATAATAGTTTTGTGCAAATTTCAAAAGCTAAACTTGACCAACCAGATGAGGATAAGAAAAAGCAATTGGATGGTAGTAGTGTTGAACATTTCTCGCAGCAACAGATGCAACATGCTCAACAACAACAGCAAACGCAAACATTGCATTTGCAAACCCAAGCATTCCCCCAATCGCAGCAAAGCAGTCCACAACAACAGATGCAACATCAACAAAATCAGACAACGCAGCAAATTCAATTACAAATTCAACAACAATCCCATAATAATCAACAGCATTCACAAAATCAACAACAGCAGCAGCAAAGCGCCTTAAAACAAATTCAAACCATGCAAACTCATTCACGGCAACAGCAGGTGCAACAACAGCGTCAACAATTATTACATAAACATCAAATTCAGCAACAAATTCAAAAACCTCAACAACAACAACAACAACAGCAGCAGCATGCATCTCAGTTAGCGGAAATTCGTAAACAAGAAAATAGTAACAGTAAACCTTGCTCTGAAAATTCAAACGATACTGACAAATTGCCACACACGTCCATTTCTTATACAGCTAACTCAAGTAATGTTGCCAATATGGAATCTAATGTTCCATCTAAAGTCGAGGAAAGCAACAATGTCTTGCTTAAACAGCTCTTGCAAAATTCAAATATTACTCCGGCCAATAGTCAGAACTCGATGACGAGTAGCAACAATACCTCTCGATCGTCAGCGACCGCTAACTTGCCGGCTCGGAAGGTAATTAATGTTCGTGCTCCTAGCTTAGGATTAGTTAGTTCTTTGGAGGCCCAACTGGCTCGGCCTGTTATACCTCCGGTTCCAGCTAGCGAAGCAAATTCTAACGCGGCAGGTTCATCTAATGCTGTATCCGTTAGTTCAAATCAAGACATAAATAAAGCTCACGGGCAAGAAGCGTCACCAAGTGTGACTTCGCCCATTTCTATTACGTGCTCAATGCCGGGAAATTCATCATTCATAACTTCTATCACCAAATCAATGACACAGGATAGCATTGGTGGTGATAAACCTAAGGTTTCGTCAACACTGATATCAAAAGAAACCTCATTTGTATCTAAGCCATCTCTGAAATTGGAAAAATCTGATCATTCGGATCAAAATCTTGATATGTTTGCTCTATCGCAAATAAATGATAATCAAAAAGCTGCCACTGAATTATCATCACATTCTTCCCATGTTCCGAATCAAACTTATAAAATGTTTGCTGAAAATGCCCTGCATAGCACGGATGTTACTAAAGTGCAAGCATCGTACCAAGATGTTAAAAAACCGCCTGAACAAGTGGTTGTGACAAAATCGCAGCAGCTGCATCAAAACCATCAAGTTGTCTCAAGCCAACAATACAATACGTTAACTAAGGGATCTAATCTAACTGCCATGGTACAGAATAGGGATAAGTATGTAAATTGCCTTTGTTTTTGAAATTAAATGCTGATATAGATTATATTTCTTTCTATAATGAAGCAGGAGCACTGATGATAAAAAGTCGCAATCGACCTCTGCAAACGGAGCGAATTCACAAATTTTAGCTGTAACTAATAGTACTACATTTTTGGCTAAGACGATAACTGAAGATGACCTTAACAACAGCAATAGCCATAAGCAAATGGAATGCTTAACCAACTCACCTCAAGTTCAAAACCAAGGAACTGTTCAATTCCAAACTGAATCCAAAGTGATAAAAATTGAGAAAGATAATTCTACAAAATTAACAGACGCTGGCGATATACAGACAGCTCAGTTACAACATCAGCAAAATATGATGCAACATCAGCAAGGTACAACTACTTCAGCTCAATCAAGTGCCGCCGCACCTAATATTATGCAGCTAAATCCAACCCATTCGGCAACTTCGCTTATTACTACGGATTATTCGCCGAGCTTGGCTGCAAGTAGCAATAAAATGCATCAATTAACAAACACCCAAGGTGATCAAACTCCCAGCAAAGATGTCGAAATACGTAGGAAACGAAAACGGGAACAACAAAAGCAACGTCGCCAAGTGTGCAGCAATACAAAAGATACTAACGCAAATACCTCAAATACTTTTGCTTTTAACTCTAATCCTGTTAGTTCAAAAAAACGTTCTCGGAAGTCGCACAAGTTAGAGGAAGATTACGATAGTTTTATAGACAATTTGCTTTTGCATATGCGACAAATGCAGCCTCTACAAGTTTTGGAACCGCATCTTAGTGTAAATTATGATGTTTGCAAGATATACGGCTGGAAAAATAGCGCACGTTCGGCAGACAATAAATCACCTGTTAAAGATAATCGTCAAACTGAAAAAGTGAATATATTACAGAGAGAACTTCAGGGAGAGTACGGCTCTGCTTATTTACCAAACAAAGTGCCTTTTTATGATTCAATAAATTTTAATTACCAAGATAATAAGGATGACTTACATTCATCTACAATTCAAAATAATTATTATGATCAGGAATTCTCATCATTTACGTACAAAACGGAATCGGAAAAGCTTTCCGCTTGCATAAAATTGTGCAGAGAGCGTTCCGTTGACACGTCGGAAATTATATGCAACAGGAGAACAGTACCAATGGAGCCGGTAAAAGCAATGCGTTTGAATATGTTGCAACAAGAAACATTTCCCGGTTTAATTTTGATGAGCAGTACGCAACAGCGTATGGGTCGTATGTCGCCTGTGATTCCATTTGTAAGTTCAATGGCATTAATAACAAAACGTAAAAAAATACCTTTGAAGTCTCAAGAGAATGAGAATTTGAATGGAGTTTCTACCAAAGAGGATGATCTCGATTCTAAACATGAGTAAGTAAATATAAATAACCTTTTAGTGTTTTAGCTGTTATGAGTATGATTGCTTTCAAACATTGCAGAATGAAAAATGATGTGAATACACAAACCGTTATATTATCGTTGCCATCGTCATCCGCTGAGCGGATTTTAGATGTATTAAAAAATCTCGCAAATATTTTGCAAATAACTGCTCCTATTACTTATCGAGTTTTAGAAAATAACTCTGCGCTAGATACCCAAAGAATAGTGGAGCATACGCCGTTAACGATGAGTAATCGTAAGCAGCTAAGTAAATATCTTTCCATACAGGATATATTAAATGGAAAATGTAAAATGTGCCGCAATTGTGGTAAGGCTATTAAAAATCGTTGTTATAGAAGCTCAAACGACAATACTAGAACTAGTCTGCATTCCATATTGGTGCAGCCTACACAGCAAAGGTATTTCTGCACTAAGCTGTGTTACGTCCAATTCCGTTGGTGCAGTGAAAAGAAAACACCTTACAATAAAGCCATTCTGGGCAATTATGATGACCAGTGTGCAATGATAGCGGGTAGAAAAGCTAGTTTAAAATCTTTATTGGATTGTAGGCCGAATGCTCTTTCTGAAACTACCAGCGAAAAGCCTAAAGCTAAAAAGATTTGCTTTCGTTATTTTAATTCAAAATGTTTTCAATCGACAAGTTCGATCAAAAAAATGAGCGAAAAGGAAATTCGGGATTTATTATTTAAGATGGACATTACTATGTCAGTTAATACAGCCAATGCCGCTATCGGTGATCAAGGCTCTTATGCGCCGCTGGAAGATCGAAGGCAATGCGTTTTATGTTCTCAGATTGGTGACGGAGTGACTGATGGGCCTTCACGTCTATTAAATTTTGATGTTGATAAATGGGTACATTTGAATTGTGCTCTATGGTCAGCTGATGTGTACGAAACCGTGAGTGGTGGCCTTATGAACTTCCAGGTGGCTTTACAAATTGGTCTTAATCAGATTTGCAATACATGCCAGCAATTAGGAGCCACAATAAAGTGTTATAAATCTCGTTGCGGTGCTATTTATCATCTGCCGTGTGCAATCAGAGATCAGTGTGTTTTCTATCAAAATAAAACTATTCATTGCCAGGTTCATGCTTCTCGTAACGATAAGGACAAAGAGCTCAACAATCTTACCGTGCAACGAAGAGTTTACGTGGAACGCGATGAAAATCGTCAAGTTGCTGCAATTCTGCATCATTCGGAATTAATGAACTTATTGCGTGTGGGCAGTTTAATCTTTCTAAACGTGGGTCAATTATTGCCTCATCAACTAGAAGCCTTTCACACTGCAAATTTTATATATCCCATTGGTTACAAAATTGTAAGCAACAGTGCCATTGCTTTTGGCATCGAATTTTTCAATATTGCCTCTTTAATACGTATTTTTAGGTGCGATTTTACTGGTCAATGCGACGTCCGAATAAACGTTGTCGTTATATTTGCTCAATAGCAGAACTAAAGGGCCATCCGGAATTTCGCATTATTGTGCAAGAACCTTTAGAGCCAGATATAGAATTGCGTGATGTTTCACCGAAGGCTGTATGGCAGAAAGTCTTGCAATCGGTTGCTGAAATACGAAAAGCCCATAATTTGGTTAAATTGTGCCCGGAATACATTACAGGTGAAGATTTATTTGGTTTGACCGAACCCTCTATTGTGCGGATTATTGAAAGTTTACCCGGTGTGGAAACATTAACCAACTATCGCTTTAAGTACGGAAGAAACCCATTATTAGATTTACCTTTGGCGTTGAATCCTTCCGGAGCAGCACGTACCGAGCCTAAACTTAGACAATTGATGGGTTGGAAGAAACCACACACTCAACGTACCTGTAGTGCTTTCAATTTTATGGGTCATCAGTCGATACCATCGGTAACGGCTGCGGGAGAAGCGACTTGCCCGTATAGTAAACAATTTGTGCATTCCAAAAGTTCACAGTACAAGAAAATGAAACAAGAATGGCGCAATAACGTTTATTTAGCGAGGTAGTTCCATAAATCGCTTGTTTAAGGGTTTAAGAGCATTTTTTGTGTTTTACAGATCGAAAATTCAAGGATTAGGGTTATATGCTGCTCGTGATATGGAGAAACATACCATGATTATTGAGTACATTGGCGAAGTTATACGAACTGAAGTTTCAGAAATTCGGGAGAAACAATACGAAGCGAGAGTATGTCCAAGAAAAAAAAAAAATTAAATAATCAAATTAATGATGTAATCTGCACTGAGTCAATTTTTGCGCATTACAGAACAGAGGCATTTATATGTTTCGTTTGGATGAGGATCGTGTCGTTGATGCAACTTTGTGCGGCGGTTTAGCGCGCTACATAAATCACTCTTGTAATCCGAATTGTGTAACCGAAATTGTGGAAGTCGATCGGGAATTGCGTATAATAATATTTGCTAAACGCAGAATTAATCGTGGCGAAGAGGTATATTTTTCAATTACTTTTTTTTAATAAATGTTCTTGCGTTTGATCGACGATGTAACTGTATTGCCTTTATAGTTGTCATATGATTACAAATTCGACATAGAAGATGATGGAAACAAAATACCGTGTATGTGTGGTGCACCTAATTGCCGGAAATGGATGAACTAATCATAATTTTTATTTTTCGACTTTTCTTGGTTAATTAAGCTTAAAGTTATATGTATTCACATATATTCATAAAAAAGGATGGGGCGAGATTAAATTATGTAACAAATGCAGATTTTGAAAAGTTTCAACAACTGTATAAAAGAACCATAACCAAAAAAAATTATTGAAATGTTTATCCCTTATATAATGCAATGCATTTTTAACTCAACCTTAACCTATTGCTAATATGGAATTATGTTAATGTAATTTTTTCTTTTTATTGATAAGGAAGTTTTCTTTTTTTTGTTTTACGTATATATGTGTTATTGAAATTGTATACTAGAACTTTTAAAATATATACATATCTAAAGTCAAGTTAAATGTTCATATATAATGCTTTACTGAGTTATCAAATCAATCGCAAGGAGGGAGGGGATGGAGATCACTTTCTATCCAGCGAACGGTCCGGAGGTAGACAAACAGATGAAAATAGATGGACGATCGAAACTTTCTTAGACGGCAAGCTGATCCTATGACCTGGACTATTGCACACCTTGCTTTGCCTAAGGTGTTTATCACTATCTAATTTTATGTGTGAGTGAAAAGAGAGTTTCTTTTAACTTGGAACAGGAACTTTACAGGAGCAGGAAATTTATTTTAAATATTATGTCATGTCGTTTTTACTCAAAAATCATTTCATGTAAAGAATCGCCTCCGCAGTTTTGCAAAATCTCAACCGTTGAAGACGAATATTTGCCAATTTTTCACAAAAATTTACTCTCATTTCATCAATAACATAAGTAAATAGTGTTCGTGGCTTATTGAAGTGAGACAATGCTGCAACATTAGGTCCAAAGTAAAAAGTCCAACAGAAGAATATCGCATGATCTTTGTGGCAAACTCACACACGCATTTGAGGAGATACACAAGATCATTGAAGTTTCCTCCCAATAAATTGAATTTGTCATGACATGTATGCCATGTTGCAACGTTTTGTTGAAGTCACAGGTCATTCGAGTCGCGGTCATCTTCTCTCAATTTCTGTACGCTGCTCAGCTACGCACGTATATACGTATTGCTTTTCGCAAATAAGGACCATGTCCAACCAATACATTGAAAAAAAAATTTGATCCAAGCAAATAACAATTAGAAATGCCTTTCACTTATGTTTTCCTTCGGAAACGAAAAGTGGATGGTCCTATACTTTATTTAATAGAAATTAGTAATTATATAATATAAATACACAATAATAATCATTATTCTTTTCGTTAGTTGCTTTTTCATCGAATCTATCGATTATCCCTAAAGGCGGAAGTCGTGAAATCTCTAGCATGAGCTCAGTCAGCCTTCTCCACTCTTCAATCCATTGCATCCGTTTATTGTTTTCTTTAATGTGATGACGTCAATTTGCAGTCTTGGGGTCTTGAATCCATCTATGTTTATTTATTTATTATCCACATATGATATAACCAAAGATTAAGAGGTTAAGCGTATAATTAAGGGAATAGAGAGAAAAAAAAAAAGTAAATTTCTTGTGGTTTCTCCCGACATCAGGTTGAAATAACTTTTTTCACATGGCTAGACAGGATTAAAGGCGTATATAGTTGTGTAAACCCGGCTTGTGTTTATTTTGTAAAAGTAACTAAGACGTAATTCATCCAAGACAAAATGCTTATTTCTTATATAAAAAAAATATATATTTGGTTTCATAGTGGAAAACCGCAAGAAATTTCCAACTACTTAGCATGTATGAAGTGATAAGTTAAATATAATCTAAGCGTCATGGACATCGTGTACTTGAAGAGAAAGATGAATTCTCGAAATCATGTCGGTTCTTGAACAGTCAAGTACCTTCTCAGGGCATTCGTCGTTAAGGAGATTCATATAAAATACGATCGACAATGTCTCAAGCGTATATCTTATATCATTCTCAAGCTAGTTGTATCGTACACACTTTGGTACAGGATATATTCAGTTATTACGCAGAAGGGCTTAAGATAGAACCATCTTTTATTATACCGATCGATTCAGAATCGCAATCCGAATTCAACTAAGCCTGTCTGTCCGTCTGATGGCCACTCACGTAAATTTGTGTTCAAGCTACAGTTTGCAATGCTTGAGATATTTTGATGAAATCTGCTCGAGTGATCTGTTTTAACCCAAGAATGAACGCTATTGAAAATGGTTCGGATCGGTCCACTTTTTCGACCACTCCCCCTATAATGCTCTATTCTGAACAGTCGTTAAATGGAAAAAAATTGTAATTTTCAAAATTTCTTGGCAAAAGTGGCTAAGTAGTATTTCGCCATTCTAAATTGGTATGAAAACGTTGGACCGGCAACTACTTCGTAAGGATGATAAAGGTCTATCAACACAAAATTTCCAAATAACGCTTAACCCAGCGCCATAAAAATGCTCCTATCATATTTGCCGACGAATACAAATTTCGAGGGGAAGAGTTTGGAAATATTCTATTTTTTGGTGGAAAAAAGTTAAATTTGAAAGGATCTGAGGTCATCGTAGGACACCCTAAACGCGGAGAGAATATCTTAATGGACTTTACAGGAGAGTTACACTGTGATAATTGGACTTTCCAACAAGACAACGCTTCTATCCATGCCGCACGGTTTACGAAGGATTTTTCAATCAAACAATTTACCGTTACTGGAGTAGCCACTGAAGAAGATATACTCAAAGTTTAAGCAGAATTGTCTACAGTTAAGGGACCTAAACTTCAAACATTATCGGAATGGGAGGAGATTGATGTGACCATTGACCATTGTGACCGACTTACCGGGTTCTATACCACGGCAACAAAATACTATATTAATTAGAAAATGCTATTATTGAGCAATATTTATTTATTTATTTATTTATTCTACTTATACTAGAAACTCAACTAAACAAATAACATTCGAGTTCAATTGGCTCTTAATGCAAAACTTATATTAATTAATAATAAAATTTAGTATAAGTATAATAAAACAAATAAGAAGAAAAAAAAAGAAAAAGAAAAAGAAAAAAAGCATGTACACCATCAGCATAGGGCCACACTTAAAACCGGACCAAATTGCAAATGAACCCCTAAGCCATCGCAAATATGCATAAGCCTGGTAACCGATAATAAATTGACAATAATTCATTTTCGAAACGTAACGACTTTTTAAGGATAAAAGCTAGTTTAAAAGCTAGTGTTTTAAACGATTTCTTTTTTGTGTCCCTTAAAATGCCCTTCTCGAGGTTGCTAAAAATATGCAGAAGAAACTAAAACCGTTTCCGTCTGTCTTCAAAGCAAGTCTGTTTTGCAAGAAAATGTTCACTGCCAAATTTGAGCCAATTTCTCCCAATTTTTTAACAGAACGCATGTAGTTGCAATTTGTGCTCAATTATTTATAGTGTTAGTTAAAGAGTTACGTTGCCCACAGAGTATAAAAAACATTCTTGCCTAATTTTTGCAATACAATAAACGAAATATTTAAAAAAAATTTTTTATAACATTTAAACAAGTTTACCTAATTGTGCAGAGAGAGGCCCAATAGTTGGCTAAGACGCAGCAGAAAATAAATCTCTTCGACACTGCTAGCTAGTTATTCACAAAGCGCTATATATATACAAAACAAGCAAATGGACAGACAATATAATATAATAAAATATAATAAAAGGTGAGTTTGTCTCGAATCTTTTTGTCTGCTGTATGCATTCGCACAAACTTGGCGTACATTTGTATCACAAGAATATGAAGGATATAAAGTTGATTTCCTGAAATTTCTAATTTTCTCTAACGTCGCCCCTTCATTTCACCCCAACCAAACGAAATACCCTATTTAACAAATGAAAAAAAATAAACGTATGTTAAATAATTTTCAAGATTCCGACCAACGCAATATTCATGTCCCCTGACTACCATACTAGCTAACTTGTGCATGCCTTTATGACTATGATCAAAGGTTGGCAGCTATAACAGACAAGAAAATCAATGTAAAAAAACAAGAAACAAATTAGACCAAATTTCTATGCATGATATTGAGAACACTGAAGAAAAGATGACACTGAAGCCGCCGAATCTGTAGACAGTAAGGTATCGGAAACTCCACAGTCGTACGCATGCTCAAAGAAATTGAACATACTTCTTATGGACGACGAGTGCGATGTTTGTCGTATATATGTGTTATTGAAATTGTATACTAGAACTTTTAAAATATATACATATCTAAAGTCAAGTTAAATGTTCATATATAATGCTTTACTGAGTTATCAAATCAATCGCAAGGAGGGAGGGGATGGAGATCACTTTCTATCCAGCGAACGGTCCGGAGGTAGACAAACAGATGAAAATAGATGGACGATCGAAACTTTCTTAGACGGCAAGCTGATCCTATGACCTGGACTATTGTACACCTTGCTTTGCCTAAGGTGTTTATCACTATCTAATTTTATGTGTGAGTGAAAAGAGAGTTTCTTTTAACTTTTTATAGACGTGGCATTCGATTTTATCCTATTTTCAAAAAAAAAAAGAATATTCTCTTTCCATATATATTCACAGAAATGGTTTGGTTGAAAT